TTCTAATCCTTAATAGCTACGAAAGTCACTACTTAATCAAATTCGAGAGATATTATAAGGAGAATAAGATTATTAGGCTTTATATATTATCTTATTTATCTTATATACTTTAGCCCCTTAACGTTAGGTACTTTAATATACTTAAGAGCGCTTATGGCTAAGAAATAGAGCATCTAATTAGATACTTTATAACTTATATTTCAAAGACTAAGTTCTTTCCGGCCTTCTACGCCGCATTTTAGGCTATTATAATAGAAAAGAATATTAAGTTAGCCTTTAAAGGGGCTAGGCTTATTCCTCTTGACCCGGAAAGTATAGTCTCGAAGCTTAATATGTAGCTATAGACTCTAATACCGGCTAAAGAGGAGGCTAAATTATTGACCCCTTGGGTTTTAAAGACCCTAAAGACTATACTTAAGGCTTAATCTTAGTTAGAATACCTTAAGAGATAAATTATAAGGCATAAAAGTAGCTCCCTAGAGTTAATCCTAGAAGCTATATAGTCTTTTTCTAAGGGAATAAAGATAGTTATATATAAGGTTGCCTTACTTAAGGCTAGGGTTAAAAAACTTAAATAAGCAAATAAGATACTAAGCTAACGCTAGAGGGCAAAAAAGACCTAATTATAGAAAAGAGGGGTAATAATAGTAGAGGAAGGAAGGTAAATAATTAATCAAATAGATATAAATGCGTAGGTAGTGGCAGAATTATCGAGGAGTAGTGGTCAAGGAAGGTCAGCGCGACTAGGTATTCAGCGTTATAGTATCTATAGTAAGCCTAGCCATAATATAAGGACGTATTAGGTAGTAATTAAGACATCTAGGGAAGAATATAGCGAGTAATTTTAATCGATTAAATAGCACGCGGTATTTTTATAGCGATTTCTATCTTAGAGGTTAAGAAAAGTATCTAGTTCGCTTACTATCCGGCTCGCTATATATATACGTTATAAGGAATAAAATTTAATTATCTAATTTATAATAAAGAATTCTTAATAATTATTAATACCTTTAAGGAATTTAGATATTATTTAAGAGGAAGCTATTATTAGATTAAGGTATATATAAATTATAAGAATATGATATACTTTATTATAACTTAAGAACTTAATTAATAATAACTCTATTATATAAAATACCTTTTAAAATTTAATTTTATTATTATTTATTAAAAAAGATCTAATAATAATAAAGCTAATAGAATTAATTAATAACCTAATTATAATACTAAAATAATATTAATATAAAGATAATTACTTAAGTATAATAAAAATAATTACTTATAATTTATAATATAAAATAAGATAATTATATAAATTATATAAATAAAAGATATAATATAACTAAAAGTACTTAATAATTTCCTTTATAAATTTTATTTATACCTTTTATATAGATATTAAGGAGTTATAAAAATATTTAAAAGATTATAAGAATATAAATATTACTTTTCTAATATAAAGTAATAAATTAGAAATATAATATATTAATATAACTTATATACTAAGATATAAGTATAATAATATAAACCCTATAGTACTTTATAACCCTTATTAATCGCATAATAACTATAGGATTTAATTATAATAGACTTTATTATAAAGCTACCTTTATTAAAAAAACCCTTAATTAGTATTATCTATAATAATATCTTTATTATTATTAACTATCTTATAAAGTTTATATATCTTATTTTATTCTAAGAAGTAATAGATATAAAAGAACTTTCTTATATTTTTCTATAATAGATTATTAATATTTATAAATTACCTTTAGAAGTTATCTCTAATAAAAGACTTATATTTACTTTAAAGTTTTAATAAATATTTATAATATAACTTAGTCTTAACTATAAACTTATTATAATATTTAAACCTTAAGTTAATAAATAAATAAAATAAATAAACTAAGTTATTAAATAATACTTATAATATTATATTACTTATAAATAAACTAATTAAATTAATAAGCTACCTATTACTTAATTAGCCTATAATATAATATTTAATAAAAATATAAAAATAATATTAGCCTTTATAAATTTTAGTTTTACCTTAAATACTTATTAAATAGAATAAGAAAGACTAATTAACCTAAAAGCTATCCTTATTAGCGATTAATTAAAAAACCTATATAAAAAAATAAAAATAAAACTTAAATTTATATAAAAATATATAAAGACTTATTATAACCCTAAGCGATTAAAAAGATTAATATTAGAAAAGGGAGAGATAATTTACTTAGTAATAAAAAATATTATAATAAAATAATAAAATAAAAAACTTAACTATAAGTATATTAGACTTTTTAAGATCCTTAAGAAAATTAGAAAAGATAATTATAAATTAGATTTACCCCCTAAGGTTAAGCTCTATTTAATCTTTTATATTTTTTTATTTAAAATAGCTAAAGATATTATTTATATTAAATATTATAATAAATTATAAAAAATTAATAGACCTAAAGAATATATAGCCGAAAGAATTATTAAAGTAAGAAGAAATAATAATAAGATAGAATACTTAATTAAATAAAAAGATTACTTTAAATCTAAGAATATTTAAGAACCCTTAGAATACCTTATAAATTTATAATACCTCCTAAAGAATTTCTATTAATAATAAAAAGAATACTTAAAGTACTAAGGAAGCTAAAATCTAAAAAATCTATATAGATTATAATATAAATATTCTTAGTTAATAAGGACTTTTATTAATTAATTTATTTTAACTCTTTAAGAATATTAACCCCCTTTTTTATTAATTTAACTCTATGAGATATTAGTAAATACTTTTGCCTCTAATATAACTCTAATTAAGATAGTAATTTATTTAGCTTATACTAAGTATATTTAAGATTCTCGCGATAAGAATTTAATAAAGCCTTAATAATAGCCTCTTAATTATTTAATCTTTTTACCTTATTAATAATTTAATTTATTATAAAGAATATATTAGCTAGAATATAAGAAGATTATATAATTAAATAAGGAACTTATATAATAATAATAAAGTATTTATAATATTATAAAGATATCCTAAGTTAATATAAAGATTATACTTAAGATAACCTTTTAATATCTTATATAAAATACCTTTCTTTTTATAATAATTATAAGATATAACTTCGTAATTAAATTAATTAATCTTAATAGTAATTAAATAATATATAATTATATCGCGGTTTAGATTAATAGATTTTCTTTTATTAATATAATTTAGTATTATATTAATATAAGAATATTTTATAAGAAGAAATTAGGATTAATTAATTAAAGGAACCTTAGCTTAAAAAAATAGTCTCGAGGGCGAGAATTAATAAGAGAGGAGAGATTATATTATAGCCTAATATATCCCCTATTATATATTATTTTATTCCTTATATTTTCTTTCCTAATATATTAATTATAAGAGACCTTATTTCTATAAGTATAAGGCCCTTATTAAGACCTTATTTTTATAAATATAAGGCCCTTACTTAGACCTTATTTCTATAAATATAAGGCCTCTTATATATATATAATAATTATTATACCTTAGATAGATACTTAGCCCTTAAGTTATTAATAGACTTTAATTACCTTTAAGACCTTCTTAACTTATTACTAAGATATAATTCCTCTATTATATAGTAATACCGAGACTCTTTGCTAATAATAAACCTAGCACGCCTGGTTTATTCCCTTAGAAAACTCTAGATATTATATATAGCTTTAAAAATTATTATTAATAAGGCATTTCTAAGATATTAAGTCTTAGCTAATACTATATTCTATTTTAGGTTATTAATAGGGATCCTCTTAGCCTCTAAGATAATAAAAAAATTCTAATTTATTAATATACCGCCCAAGATAATCTTATTAATATTAATAAATATTAAGATAAAGTATTAGCAGAAATAGTTATAATAGTAATATAATATTACCTAGAAGTATTTATTATATATATTAGTATTTATATATATTAATTATAAGGTATAAGGGAGGATATTATACTAGGTAGTATTAAAGCTATGCGGGGCCTAAAGTAATAAATATTAATAATAAAGTAATAACTAGCTAATATAACCTATATAATCTATATATATAGCTATCGCGCTATTTATTACTAAATAGGATTATATTAGTATTAAAAGCTTAAGAGAGGGACTTAATTAATAATAAAATCCCTATTAATATAAAGGCTATAGAGGCTAGGCTAAAACTCCTTAGCTAAGAAATAATTAAGGTAACTCTAAGCTAGCTAGATAAATAATAATATATTTATAATAAATTAAAATAAAACCAGGATATAATAATAAAATAATATAAAAACGAATTAATAAAATTAAAGTATTTTAATAAAAAAAGAATAAAAGAATAATATATAATATATATATATATTAATATATAAGGGTTAAGTATATATATATATATAAAGCCTTAAGGGAAAGAGATATATAAGGAGTAAGAAATATAATAAGAAGAGATAAGAGCCCCGGGGTAGCTTAAAAAGTTCCTAAGTTTTTTTTAAAGGAGTAATTATTTTTAACCTATTAGAAGGGAGGTTTTCTTAGGCTAACTAGAGCGAAGGGCTTAAGTTAAGGGGCAACGGCATAAGACCTCTCGTCACTTCGTTCCTCAAGGCATTTTTTATTTCGCGAATAGCTTTATTGTGCCAAAATGCGGTGCAAATAAAATAGTAGGGTTTGTATGGGGCGATGATTTTTTGTGCTATGCTTTAAGTGGTGTGATTCTTAAAGTGGTGGGGGATAGTACCGTATAATCCATGCCAGCTAGTACTATACCACTATTTCTTCAACACAATTAGCAAAGATGCATTTATATGCTATTTAGAGATTTATTAACACCGAGAGGTTATTTAGTAGTAATGAGTTTGGTGGGGATTATGATATCCAGCAGAGAAAATTGTGTAGAGAGCGAATATATATGGTTTTTAGCTAAGTACGAAGTGACGAATAAAACGCTACAAACTTGTCGAGGCTAGATCCGCCAGGGTCATTTTATGCCTTGATATCTGTCTCAAGGTACAGATCCCCTCTGTCGGGCCAACCACCAGCTTTGACCTGGAAATGAATGAGCTCCCGATCGCCCCACGTTGCCTTCGCAAAGGCGGACATCAAGTCCAAGCCGTTGAGGAGAGCACCGCTGGTCCAAAGCTTTCCATCGTTTGCATAGCGACGATCCACCCATTTGGTACCGGGAACCTGCTTGTAGAGGTTTGGAAGCATCAAGCGCGGCGCTGTTGCCGTCTTACCATCGAGAATTCCGGCTTGCAGAGGCACCATCACGCCACCGCAGATGGTGAGAAAGGCGGAACATTCCTCATAGGCCTTGCGAACAAAGGCCAATTCAGTCTGGTTGGGCTCGTATCCTATCATATGCGCGCCCATCAGGACTATGTCCAGCTGCGGGCAGTTTTCAAATGAGTGCTACACGTGACGAATCATCAATTAATAAGGTGTCATAACATCTGGTTTGAAGGACCTGGTTACCGTGGGGGTGAGCGAAATGCCACTTGTAAGGCGACAGTTAGTCGCCTTGCCCGTCTCAGAGACCCAGTGGAACTCGAAGTCCAATGCCTGCTTCTTGGCAGCGAGATGCTCCCCCCAAAGCTCATCTGGGAGGGCTCCACAGAAGTCATTGCTCATGCCACTGAAGAAGTCAATTGGAGCAGTGTCGAGGATTTCCGTGACACTAGGCTTTGTATCAGTTGGCTGAGGTCATTTGAAAGTTGTATGATAATGGTATTGAAGGGAACTCACCCATTGACGAGAATAACACCGACCCGAATGGGCCGGTTCGGCTTAGAGAGATCGAATGGCTGCGACATGGTTCTACTGTGATTCAAATTCAATTGAGATGGTTTTGATGTGAGTTCGATGATAGAAAATGGGAATCACTCATACTTATAATCTCTACCATAGAAAAGGTCCGACGTGCGTCGGGGTCAGCTGTGCCATTTCTGCCAATGGAGGTCATGAGAGTGCTTCAAAGGTGTTCGTTCTCCGACAACCGCCGGATGGTTCATGCTCATTGTGTTGAAGCGGATGCTTGGCATCGAATGAGATGCTGGAAGTAGTCGTAATTCCGTGCACTTGGCAAAAAACTTGCTCAAACTAACTTGTACCCATAGTAGTACCAACATCGTCTCATAGTGGACGGAATCTCGGCTGCACTGGTCGATCCCGTCGCTGTTCGGAGTCTCGGCTGCACTGGTCGATCCCGTCGCTGTTCGGAGTTACGGCTGCAATGCGGTCTGAATTAGGCCGGCCCGATTCTCAATATTTGATTGGATGTTGGAATTGTAGAAGATTTGCTTCGGATACTTATTAAATGGGCACAACGGGGGCTCTCTCAGAACCCCACAATAACTCCGGGCCTGCTCGGAAAACACCCATTGAATGAATTCGCACCATGTGAACGATGAACAGATTCAAAAACCCCATACATTGACCAATTCTAGAGACTGCAAGATGCACCAAGTTTCAGTCAAGTTAATCGATCTATCAATTCCAATGGCTCTTACATCACTTGCGCAGGCCTGTTTGCCTACTACATTCTCCCCTACAGTGTTTGGTGTCTCTATCGTCTCCATCCAGACATCACTTGTTTCAAATTTCAGCGCTGTCATCCCCGCGGCATACCGGTTTGCTCAGCCCACGATTGAAGTCAGCAACGCTACGTTCTGCAATGTTACTGTGACGTACACCCATCCTGGATTGAGCGACAGTATAAATGTGGAATCTTGGCTTCCCGTTCAGAACTGGAACGAAAGGCTTCTAGCTACGGGAGGAGGCGGCTGGGTCGCTGGCCGTTTTCAACTCTCATATAGTGTCATGACTGGAGCCATTGGGGAGGGATATGCTACAGTCACCACCGATGCCGGCTTGGGAATTTCTCCGGACCCACTGGCTTGGACAAGCGCAGAACCTTGGGCTCTCGTGAGTCCTGGCAATGTGAATCTTTATCACCTTCGAAATTTCGGACACCTTAGTCTCAAAGAGATGGTAAGAGTCCATTCATCTGTGTCAGTGGCTTTTGTGCAGAGGTCGTCTGATAACGTGGATTAGACCGTCATTGGAAAATCCTTGATCAGTTCATTCTATTCCGAGGAACCGAAATTCTCATACTGGAGTGGCTGCTCCCAAGGTGGACGTCAAGGATTAGAGATTGCCCAACGATATCCAGACCTATACGATGGCATCGTAGCAGGTGCCCCGGGGATATATTTACCCCAGGTCGTTTCAAATATCTACTGGCCACAGCAGTATATGAATGAGATCGGGAAGTATCCACTCCCATGCGAATTCGACGCAATTACGAAAGCAGCAATTACGGAGTGTGATGGGCTCGATGGGGTGGCGGATGGGATCATTTCAGACACTGAAATTTGTGAGAAACGGTTCAATCCCACAAAGCTCACTGGCAAAGCAATCGAGTGCGCCCAAACGAATTCGACAACCTCTATTAGCGCTGAAGCTGTAAAAATTGCGAAACTTGCATGGGATGGTATTTCTACGGCCGAAGGAAAATCAATTTGGCACGGCTTAAACATCGGCGCCGATCTGACTGCGACCGATCCTGCAGGAGGCGGTTATGGTACAGCAAGCACCAAATGCTCTAACGGATCCTGTGTTGGAAATCCGAGCGAGCTTGGAGCATCGTGGATTCGCCTTTTCCTTGCTCAAGATCGAAATTTCCAATTGGCAAAGTTGACTCGAAAAGAGTTTCTTCGGTTAGTGCGTCTGGGTATCCACGACTATAGTTCATTCATTCGCACCAGCGACCCTGATCTCTCGGGGTTCCGTGATGCCGGAGGCAAGATTATTACTTTTCACGGTCTAGTAAGTCAGTTGCGACCTGGCCTTACTTCATGTTTACTAATTTCCTTACGACATTTAGGCAGACAATGTCATCCCCTCAAAAGGTACAGAGCAATATTATAAAGAGGTAGCAGCATTTTCACCGGATGCCCGCAGTTTCACTCGATATTACCCAGTTCCCGGTCTTGACCATTGCTTCGGAGGAACGGGAGGACAGCCTATCAACCTCATGAGCCAGCTTCGTGCGTGGGTTGAGAATGGAACGGCGCCTGAGTCATCTCCAGTTACCATTATTGATCGTGATGGCGAGCCCCAGCAACGAGTTTTATGCCCTTACCCGCAGAGAGCCAGTTTGAAGAAGCACTGTAAAGACGTTTCAAATGTCGAGTGCTGGTCATGTGTAAGTCGGCCGACTTATTAAGTTAGCAATCCTGCGCGAGAAATGGTGGTAGTCTACAATATTTAATGTCTCTTTAAAATATTATAGTTTTAGGTAATTAATAGGAACGCATGAAGAATTAATATCGTATCATGGCCTATGCCGCGATCGAATGCGTATCGCTATACGGCACGGATTAATATATTCCGCTCACTCGGTGCAAATAAGCGGGACTTATTTTCTTACTCCGGGTAAGTAAGAATATAATACTATCTCATAATAAGCATTATAAGATACTCCTTAGACCCTACTTATAAAAAACTATATAATATCCCTTAGATAGATATTCTTACTACCTTAGCTTTTAATATAATTTAATTACTTAAAAATACTTCTTAATATTATTAGATATAATTCGCTACCCTATGTATAATACTATACCCCGTTATAACTACTAATATAAACTAATTAAGTTATAGTTTATTATATTAGGAACCTTAACTATTATAAAGGGCTACTTATATATATTAATCCAAAGGCTATTTACCTTGTTTAAATACCCACAGCGGATATAGCTATAAGAATAATGCCAGATAGGGATACTATACTCCTCTTAGGTATATATTATAGCTTAGTCCCCCGTAATAGCGCTATAAGCCCTATAGGTAATTAAAATACCTTTTATACTTACTATAATAGCGATTATAGCCTAATCTTTTACCCCGTGGCGTAGTAGCTAAGATACCTATAGCTATAATTACTATTATATAATAATTGCTATAAGTAAATAACCTAAAGCTTATAAGTTTAAGCCCTACCTTTAGTATAATTACTTATAAGGCTGCCTTTAATATATAGCTTAGATAACTATAAGGTATATACTTAGGGGTTAGATTAATTACTATCCTATAGGGCTTAATAACCCCTATATAGGATAGCTCTATAATAGGCTTCCGAGGTATAAGCCCTTAAGAGAGGGTATTATATTATAGCTTAGTCCCCCGTAATAGCGCTATAAGCCCTATAGGTAATTCAAATACCTTTTATAATTACTATAATAGCGATTATAGCCTAATCTTTTACCCCGTGGCGTAGTAGCTAAGGTGCCCATAGCTATGACTGCTATTATAGTATATTTATCGCACTCTGCCCTATCTTAATACTTTCTTATCTATATTTTATACTCGTTTTTAAGTTATTATAATTCTTCCTTCTTTGCTTGCCTTTGGGTCTATGCCTAAGCTTTAATCTCGGCTTTTAGTTACTAATACTTTAGGGAGGCAGAGAAATAAACTACCGAAAATAAATATAGGCTCCTATAAGATCTAAATAGGGAAGGCTATCCCTCCCTATAGGTAATAATTTAGCGGTTAAGCAAATACTTCTTAAGGCAGTAAAGTCTCTTTCCTTTAACTCTAGTAGTTAATAATAGCGCTTACTATACCTTAATAGGAACTTTATACTTATAAAGCATTAGAGAGGGGAGAGTATAGATAGCTGCCTTATCTATTGCTATCTATAGTTCGCTAATAGTAAGAAGCATTCTCGATATACCTTTAGGGCGGCTAGAGTACTAATAGCTAGCTACCTAGTAGTATAACTAGATCAAGTCTTTTAGTTCTCTATATATAGCTTCCTCTCTAATATAATACTTTAGCTATAAGTTAAGATTAGCTATATATTACGGCCTGACCTATACCTATTACGTGCATTAGCGGGACCCTATAGTTCCTTACTAATTAAATAAGTAATTACGCTTAATACTAAGTAATTATAGTAATTACTTATATAATTACCCTAATTACTTAGGTAATTACCCTAATTAAGGTTAAGGGCAAAGTAATTATAACTAATACCTAAAGTATATAAAATATACTTATTATACTATCTTATATAATAGCTACCTTATAACGGTAGTTATAGCTATAGGCACCTTAGCTACTACGCTATAAGGCAAAAGATTAAGCTATAATCGCTATTATAGTAATTATAAAAGGTACTTTAATTACTTATAGGGCTTTAATTATTATTACGGGGGACTAAGCTATAATATACTACTCTCTCTTAGGAGCTTATACCTCGGAAGCCTATTAGAATTAATTTATTATAAGGGGAACTAAGCCCTATAAGGCCTATAGCTAATCTAACCCCTAAGGGCATACTTTATAGCTACCTAAGCTATATATTAAAGGTAGCCTTATAAATAATTATACTAAAAGTAAAGCTTAAACTTATAAGCTTTAAGTTACTTACTTATAGTAATTATTATATAATAATAATTATAGCTATAAGTACCTTAGCTATTATGCTATAGGGTAAAAGATTAGGCTATAATTATTATTATAATAATTATAAAAGGTATTTTAATTACCTATAGGGCTTTAATTATTACTATAGGGGATTAAGCTATAATATACCTTAGCTATTAATATAACTTAGTTATACTTAATACCTTTAAGTATATTATTAGATATAACTTATATTACCCTTTAAGGTTATATAATATTCTCCTCTATTAATATAAACCTAATATAATTAATTTATCCCTTAGGAATCTTATAATTATTATATATTAATAGCTCTTATTTAAAGGATTATTTATATTACTTTAAATAATATTAAATATAATAGCTACTTGGGCTACTCTTAGTAATAACTATTAATAGGTGTTACTTATTAATTACTTATTTACTCTTATCGCGCTAACTTAGGCTAACCCTAATAATAATAAAGAAATAAATAATAATACTAAAGAAATTAAAGAACTCTAAGCCTAAGTTACTCTAATAACTATTAAGATAAATAAGCTTAAAGAATTTATTAATTATATAGCTATTAGCTAATAAGCTTAAAACTAATAATACTAGGATAATATCTAGCTTATTAATAATATAGCTATTATAGCTATAAAAAATAAAGATATTAAAGAAATTTAATAATATTATAATATATATAATAAGGAAATATTATAATTATATAAGTATTATAAAAATCCTAACCTTCTTATTAGAGATTATAATAAAAATATTATAAATTATTTAATTAATTTAAATTACTTATTATATTCTTTCTTAAATATTTTAATTATTATTTAATAAGTCTTTATATTATACCTAGGCTTATTATAAATATTATAATATTAAATTTTAGATTTAATTAGCTTTCCTTAATTATTACTTTTAGATAATTTAGCTATTACTTATATATTTATATTTATTTATTTAATTAATTAATTATTTATTTATTTATTTTATTATTATAACCCCCTTTTTCTATAATTTAATCCTTTTTATGCTTTAATATTAGCTTAATATCTTATTAATTTCTTAAAGGTCTTTATTCTTAATAATTAATAAAATAACTTAATATATAATAGCCTTTATTATCTTTATAAGAGATTATAAAGCCTTTAAAATTAACTTTAAGGAGATATTTTAATATCTTTTAATTTACTTTTAAAGGTATTTAAATTAAGATTTAATCTTAAATATAATCTTTAAGGTCTTAAAAGCCTAAAGGGTTAATAATTTAATTACTTCTTTAATTAATATTAATATCTATAGCTTTATATTAACCTTTAAGATTATAATTTCTAAGTTAAGAGAAATAAGCTTAATACCTTTAAAAGCCCCCTTAATATTTCTTTTTGTTATAATAGCCTTATATATAATATAAAAAGCTAAAAAGAATTTAATCTTTAAAATATAAATTATAAAATATTTAATTAAATATTTTATTTCTTAATTATAAGCCTTTTTTAATATATTAAA